TAAAAGCACGAAAGTGTCTTGAATGCTGCGCATTTCCCTATACACGTACTCTTCGACTAACACATGCGTGCAGATACTTTTGAATCCGTGAGCATGAATGCTTTTCACATGCCTGGAGATGTACGTTAATATCCGTGTGGTGTATATCGCTTGTATACTGTTGGATTAAGCGGTTGTTTTTAAAAGATTTCTTTCAAGTGGTTATTTTTAAGTGGGTGCTTGCAAATGGTTGTATTTAAATGATTGCTTTCAAGTAGTTGTTTTTAAATGATTGCTTTTAAGTGGTTGTTTTTAAGTGGTTGTTTTTAAGTGATTGTTTTAAATGATTGCTTTTAAGTGGTTGTTTTAAGTGGTTGTTTTAAGTGGTTGTTTTAAATGATTGTTTTAAGTGATTGCTTTTAAGTCGTTGTTTTTAAGTGGCTGTTTTCAAGTGGTTGTTTTTAAGTGGTTGTTCGGCATCTGCGCTGATGCGTTAGCCTTCTTTTCTGCAGGTGCGTGCAGGGTTTAATTCTTCAGACGACGGTTACATATACTGGCCACCGCCAGACGACAGGTGAGTGTGTGAAGCTAGTCAGAGCACCTAAGAGAGATCGTTTCCACTTCATAGATACAAGCATATGTATATCTACCTGGATGTGCATGGACATATACTATATATAAATATATATATATACTATAAATATACTATATATATACATGAATATGCACATGCGTGTATAGTTATATAAATGAGTGCCCGTATACATACCACATCCGCGTATCTTACAGACAGTGTATGTTTGCTTTCATAGTTGTCTCCCTTACACGCAACGTGTTCTATTGCTTATAGTGTAGGCCTTTGCGTTCTATTTTTTACTTTCTAATAGTTACTTTCTAATATAGCGACCAATGGTGATATCTTTATCCATGCTATCCTATGCGTTCGTCTTGTAGTAGCTTTTCTATTGGATCCCTTTCGACCCAGTTATTAACAGTTTTTACCTACATGCGATCTCAGTGTTGTAGGTATACGTTTTAGCATTCCATTCTGGCGTAGCACGCTTCTAGAACTCTCTGACGAGCTATTCTTTTAGTTGTATTTTTAGAATCCAATAAAGTTCCGCTATTCGTTCCAGCAAACCCGATATACAGTCTAAAAATAGGTCGCACGTGCACATACACTTTAGTGTTTGCTGTTGCCACTACCGTTGTTGTTGTCCGGTGTGGTTATTATTCTCTATTTCTCCATTTCTATTTATAGCATTCAATAATATCGCACTAGTCGCTTGCAGTAAGCACATTGAGTGGGTTGAGCTTTTCACATACGTTGTGGTACCGATGTCTTCGGTCGGCTGGTTTTGTATATAATAAACAAGCCTAACAAAACAAGGTGCTCTTACAGTTCTATTTATACTGTCCAATCGTATCACTCATTTCCTTCACAGTGAGGACACCTCATCCGGCAATCTCCCGTACGTAGTAGCGTTGCTGTCTGCTGTGGCCACGGCTATTTTGGTATTGGCTGTTGTATTTGTTGTGCAGAAGCAAAGCAGGCAGCGTCAACGAGATGAGAAACTTATGGTCGAGAGAGCTATCGCAAAGATCCGGAAAGTAAGTCATGGTATATGACGAATAGAACACATCGTTCTATATATATTATAA